TTCTTCTTCTTCTTCTTCTTCTTCTTCTTCTTCTTCTTCTTCTTCTTTTCTCTCCTCCTCCTTCCTCCTCCTCTTCTTCCTCCTCCTTCTCTTTAAGGAGGAATAAGGGGGGGGAAGAGTGAGAATATAAATCAATGGAGTAGTGATGGAATATTTTGACAACATATTGAGCAGATAGAAATGACAATAGGCTTTCATAAACGTGAGAACTCTACTAAATAACTTCAAATGCAATTTTATTTAGGGATGAAATTAACTATTCTCTGTGTATCTTCCAGGGTTTAGGAGTAGTTTAGATGTATCAGTTTGTTTCCCAAAAATAACAGTATTGGAAATGAATGTTAAAAGGTGAAATGTTCACTTCAAAGTTCTGTCTGTCTGTCTCTGGCTCTCTCATCATTTTTGTTCATTCTAAAGGTCTTGAAAACTGTAAACATCATGTTACCTATTAATATTGTTCTAACTTCTTTCAGAAATAATTGCTAATGAGGCCTCTGTAGCCATGGCTACTTCTGACGTGAAACCAAAATCAATAAGTCGTGCCAAGAAATGGTCAGAGGAAATAGAAAATCTGTACAGATTTCAACAAGCAGGATATCGGGATGAAATTGAATATAAACAAGTGAAACAAGTCACCATGGTAAACTTCACTGCTCTTTATAATATAAGCTGACACACCCTTTTGTTTCTATAAATGTTTGCTTTGGATAAGCATTATCAGATGGTGAAATGTATTTTAATAACATTAACAAAACAGAACTGAAGGGAGTTCTCTGTCATTCTTCATTTGAAGAGAGGGAGACTAAGCTTATACAGGTGGTCTGCATTGTGGGGGACAGCGTGGTCCCTTGACTGGGCACACTCACACTCACTGAACTGCACAGTGCTCACACACGAGTCTTTATCAATAGACTGAGAAAACAGTCCTTCTACATACACCCTGGTAGCTCTATTAGCACATGCTCAGTTTGTGGTAAAATATCCTTTCCCCTCTGCATATCTGGGCTGTGAATTAGAAAGGAGTTGCGTATATTATTTTCTTCTTTTCCTTTTCTTTTTTGGTGGTTTTGTGATGACCCCCAAGCATAAAATACTTGTCATTGCTACTTCGTAACTATAATTTTGTTGTTATGAATTGTGTTATAAATATCGATATTCGGGATATTTGACACGTGACCCCTGTGAAAGGGGTTTTGACCCACAGGTGGAGAACCCATGATTTAGTCCCTGCCTCTGAAGCCTATGATAGACATAGCTGTTTGAGCAGGGGCCCTGGACTCACTCCCAGTGTCCCTCTGGGGTTTTCATCTTAGAAATTACAAGGTTTTGGATCACTTAGAAACATAACAATAAATTTTGGTTTATTTGGCACATGTCTTCAGTCTTGGCCATAGCGCAGACACTAAAACCTTGAAACTGGACTCTAAAGAAAAGCACTTAATTCAGTATGAGCGCTCCAGAATAAGGCTGAGGTTTGCATTACATGTGTACTCCATGCTCCAAGAGCACAAGGTTTTGTTTTGGTTTTGGTTTTTGGTTTTTGGGTTTTTTTTTGTTTTTCGAGACAGGGTTTCTCTGTGTAGTCCTTGCTGTCCTGGAACTCACTCTGTAGACCAGGCTGGCCTCGAACTCAGAAATCCGCCTGCCTCTGCCTCCCAAGTGCGCAAGGTTTTTAAAACGTAATCGCGGACTTTAATTTTTGATGCAGGTTGTTTAATGGTGAAACATGAAGTAAAATCACACTGGCGTGGAATTCATTCATCCTCTCTTCCTTCCGGTGCAGGTAGACCGTTGGCCAGAGACAGGCTACGTGAAGAAACTTCAGCGGAGGGACAATACTTTCTATTACTACAACAAGCAGAGGGAGTGCGAGGACAAGGAGGTCCACAAAGTGAAGATTTACGCCTACTGACCTTTCCCGTTTCTTCGGCTTGGCGATGGTACTTTAAGAATTGGTTGTTTACATTCTTCCATCATGTAAATGTCATTTTACAAAACAATCCACAATTCTGTCTTTAATTCATGGTGTCTTACACAGCATAAACACTGAGAAACCTGAAACTGGCCAGTTATCTTGTCCGTTCTGAAGCGCAGTTGCAGAGAACCTTAGAATCTGGCCCTCCCCTCCACCACCTGCGGAGCACCTCAATGGCTCCCTTGGAAACCAGCGGGTTAGAAGCCCTGGGGAATGGGGTGGGATTAGGCTGTGTATTTCCTTAGAGGACATTAGTACTCCAGGCAGAGTCCCCTCCTAACACATCTCTGCCTACAATAGTACTTGTATTTTTTGGCCTGGAGGTTTTGGTTTTGTCTCTCAGGTCCTTTGCCTCTTGCTAGACACACTGGAAATACGAATGATGCGTACCCTGGAGGAGCCCTCCACAAATGTAGAAAACAAGCATGACGCTGTATGTATGTATGTATGTATGTATGTATGTATGTATGTATGTATGTATGGGATTAGTCCTCAGTATCACAGGAGGACAGACCACCCAACACATGCACAGAGAGCCAAAGAGCCAGAGAGTAAAACATATTGCACATTACTATATAAATACAAGTATTTATACTTTTAAATTAACATGTAGTGATTTATTTACCAGTGCTGAGATAAAATACAAGACCTCACAAATTCTAGCCAATCACTCTCCCACCAAGTTACATCCCCAGCCTTGGCTTAGTCAGCTAGTTAGTCCTGAAAGTCTGTTGGTCACTGTGCTATTCAAGCTGTCTTTGAACTGATGATCCTCTTACCCAGCCCCACCTTCACACAAGCGCTGGGATTACACCACCATTTCTAACCCTTAGGTTCTCAGAAAGCAATTAGGCCTGAAGGTTTGAGCTGATGGTGCCCAGTGAATACCCTGTCACCTGTTTTGGGTTGACTTACGTTCTCTTTCTAAACTCGTCTAAATTCCACCCGACCCCCTCAGCACCTGTGGATGTGATGGTGCTCGCACCACCACAAGTTCCAAGCAAGAAAAGTGTTGACTTTAGAGTATATCCATGCAGTCTTTTCATTGGATTATCTTGACATTCATTTTGTTGATTTTTTAAAAGCATTTCCAATCACAAAAATAACCCAATAAACAAACAAAAACCCAAACTGCACACTGAAACTGCTCAGGGAAACTTTGAATAGGCATGAATGGGTCAGTTTCATCAAAACTAGAAAAGCTTTTTTTCTAAGTAAGTTTATATAGCCATCTTGCTTGGAGATTCATCCCAAGGGAGCAGCCTTCCAACTTAGACCTCTAGGTCTGGGACTGCCTCTCCACACCATCTCAGTGTTCTCATTATGCAGAGTACACTTAAGACCTCATATGGGCCTTAGTGTGTACCATTTCCCACATATGACTGAGAAGACACTCAGGGGTGTTGTTCCTTGGTGGTTGCAGCAAGGTAAGAAAACACTAACAATTAGAGGATTTGGTAGGTCAGCCACCTTGTTTAAAATGGGAACCAGTGGACGCCTATTCCTGGAAAAAACAAAGACCAAAACAAAAGCAGTTAAGACAGTGTTAGGGTGAGTTTTGCTTTCAGAAGGGGAAATGGCTCCGTTCTGTAGTAAGTACAGGATTCTCTATGCTTTAGTTCAGGATTCTGATGCAGTAGACAGAAACATGAAGATCCAGAGCAGGGCAGGCTCCAGAACAGCCCCGGACCACAGTCAGTGGGATGCTGCACTGTTTTGTCAAGAGAAGTTCAAGAGCCTTCATGGGTTTGCAGGTGTAGATGTTCTCTTCTGGGTCTTGGAACAAGGCGTCCCTTGGTCTTATTCTGGAGATATGAACCCAGCTGTCCATTGCAAACAGTTTGGCCATCAGGGAGAGTACTTAGGTGCCGGGGTCCAGTCTCAACACAGGATCAGAGTTCTCAAGTGGAAGCAGGGATATCTGGAAGGCAGATAACAACAGACACAGACACCTTTTCAGGTACAAACTGACAGGCAAGTTTTCAAGGCTTAAAGTTGCTCCCCCTCAACCCCCCCCCCCCCACTGCTTGAGGCTGCACACACACTGCATTCTCCTGTGCACTTTTCTTTTCTCAAACTCCCACACTCCTACACACCTCTGTGTGTTTCCCTCTCACTCACACACACCTCACACACACCACATCCACTCTCCTTTAACTCACACACACTCCATACACACCTCACATTCTCTCTTCATTCACTTCACATTCTCTGTCTCTGTCTCTGTCTCTCTCTCTCTTTCTGTCTCGCTCTCTCTCTCTCACACACACACACAAACACACACATTATCTCTACTCTGCACTCACCTCACGAACACCTCATGTGTACCTCACTTGCTATCCACTCACTCTCTTGCCTTTTTCTTGCCCCAGTCTTTCACTGATATTCAAAAAACAGGTAGAAAAAAAAAAGACATTGTATAATCATTGCCAAATCAAATTCAAAAGAATAACCACATCCCATAAGAATCAAGAATTACAACTCTTCCCCAAAGTTTCAAGCTTCCCTATTCTCAGGACTGTAGCCAAAATAATAATTGTAAACTTATCATTATTTAAACTTTAACTTTTGACTTATTATACTCCAGAGCTCAGAGCCTCGATGTCAGCTACTTGCATTTTCCTGTGAAGCTCTAATGATAAATGACATGGGCAAAGCTGCCAGGCAGTGGCCAGAAAGGATCAAGTTAACCCTTAACTCAGTAGTTCCGCTAGCTTTCTGCTTCTGTACATTGTATACAATGACTCTCTTAGAGCCCGGTGTTTTGACTTAGTTTTACTGGTATATAATTTTATGTATTTTATCCTTTCTTATCCAGGAACCACTCTCAAATGTTGTGCAAAACTTATTTGATAACTTCAATAGTTTTTTCTTTTCTTGGGGTCCCAATGTTGGCTCTATTTCACTTTCTAATAACTTCTTCTAACTGTCTTTGCAAGTCAAGCGTTAATCTGGAACTACCATTGTGCTGTTGTTGCATTGTTTCTAAGACGAGAGAGCACAGCATGCACCTGGGCCATTAGGACTGTGCTGTACTGTCCCCCAGGCCTCAGTTTTTAGTTGTTTAAGAATCATTACATCAAGGAACATCTAGTTTCACAGAATTCATCAGAGCCGAAGGAGAAAGAAATAGGAAAGCCAGATATAATAGAATAATCATGTATACCAAGGCCAACTGAAAAGCAGTCACACACAAATAAAATCTATACAGCTATTGTCCAGGGCTAAGGTTAGGAGAAATGGGAACAACTTTTTTTATATATATAAAAAAATTGCTGCTGAGGGCTACTCAGGGTCCCAGACACCATTCTCTTTTACAAGAAGCTGCTGAGGGCTCTGAGATGTGTCCATCCCAGCCTGCTGCTGGCAGTCCTTGTCATGGTAAGCTGTCCCCAGCACTTAGAACCACTTGGAAAGGTCTGCTCCATTGAGGACCCCAGTGTTCTATAGGTCTGTCTTTTCAGGTTTTAAGGAAGAGCCAGTCTCGTCCACGTCTCTCAGGTTAGATCCTTTTGACTGAGTATAACCATGTTTCCATTTTTGGATAGGGTTTGTTGGATTTGCCTTAAGTTTATTCTGTACCTGATCCTGTGAGGAAGGGCCTACTACCCAGTAACTCTAGGGGCTGAACCGGGCATTAGACTTTGGAGTTGTTCTAACTCTTAAGAGGACAGTGGGTAACAACTTTGTTGTTGCTGCTGTTGTTTCCCCAGAGGTTTCTTGGCAAAGCTTTCCTAGAGTCTGCTTAATAGTTTGGTTAGTCATTTCAAGTTTTCCTCAAGACACTGATCTCCAAGCAGAGTTTAGATAATATTTTATTTCCAGAGCCCTAGATATTGACCAAGTAGCCTGTGATGTAAATGATGGGCATTTGTCCCCCTCTGTCACTCTATGGCCTGTTGACTCTATGTGATAAGGGTAAGGTCAAACCTTGGTAGGCAAAGTCAAAGCTTGGTACAATTCTCTTCAAGGTAGCCCTTGCCACTGTGATCAGCCTCGATCCAGCCAGTGACAGTGTCCACAAATGCCAACAGATACTTGAAGGTGGCACAGGAGGGCATATGAGTAAAGTTTATTTGCTTTTCCTTGGAAGTGGCTCATGGACTGATGGAGGACAAGGCTGGCTGGAGCTGTTATGTATGCAGAGTAAACACCGACCCTGATAGACATTGTTCACCCTGTCAATCAGTCTTCTTGGAAAAACAATTGAGTTATACAGAGAGTAGCACCTTTTCCCACATGAAAGGAGTCATGTCTTTCCTTAATTGTTTTTCACTCTAGGGCTTGGGATAATAGTACTTTATTTTCTGCTGGCTGGGAAGGCCAGAAGAAAGACACCCAAGTACCTGCCCCAGTCCTGCTGGGCCAGGGGCAGCCCAAAGAAAGATACTCGAGTGCCTACTACAGACGCCACTACAGGGAACCAATGTGTAATGTAGAAACGAGAAAGATGGAGTGAGTGGTGGAGAGATGGAGGAGAAAGTGAAGCTGGGGGCTCAGACATGGTGGAGAAAGGTGGAGCTGGATGGTGATGAGGAACAGGCAGAGGTTTTGCCTTTAACCCAAAGTTAACACAATTTTATTTATTTATTTATTTATTTATTTATTTATTTATTTTTTTACTTTGCCTTCTACATCACAGATTGTCACAGGAAAGTTGGGCACAGACTGGAAGCGGGAACCACAGCAGAGACTGCTGAGGGGGACTGCTTACTGTCCTGCTCCCCATGGCTTGCTCAAATTGCTCTCTTATTCAATCCAGGAGCACCTGCTTAGGGGTGGCATCACCCACAGTGGTCTGTGCCCTCCTGCATTGGTCCCTAATCAATAGAAATGCACCACACACATGCTGATGGGCCAATCTGATAACAGCAATCTCTCAACTGAGGCTCTCTCTAGTTTGCAGTAAGTTGACAAACACTAACACATCAATGTGTAGCTGCCCACTGACAAGATGAACCTCCAAAGATAGCAGCTACATGGAGAATGAAAGGTACCAACTGAATATGCAGCTGCTGTAAGGACAGCAAAGATAGTAGTGAGTGGTCCCCTAGGAAATCAAAACCTTGGGAACGAAAAAGT